CTTCGGCAGAAACTCTGAAACTCTCCTTGCGAGTTTGACTTGCTGGCAGCGCCGCCCTTGCAGGCGTTCGGCCGCGGCCAGGTGTGCCGGGGTCRCCCCTTGCCGTTGGGGCCAGCCCGCTCCCTTCTGCCAAAGCTGTCACGGGGGGCTCCAACCGCGTTTCCCAAAGAAAGAAAGCCTTAAAATTGCTTCATGTGAAGAGCTCAACAGTACAAGTGAAAACTCTGTTTTTTTTTTATATTTTTTTTTTCTCTGCGATGTAGGTTTTTTGCATTACTTTATCAGCCAGGCAATGTCAGGAAGTGTAGCGTAATTAAGAGTTTATGGCCTCTGTTTCTGGAGGTATTCAGAGAATGGGTATCTGAATTTAGTATAGTCTGCTTGGTGGAAAAAAAGTACGAAGGGAAAGCAAGTGCACATCCTGCATATATAGGTGGAAAGTGTGAGCTCAGAAGGAGCTAGTGCTAGGAGCAGATGAGTTTTCTGTTTTTTTGTTTTTTTTTTTTTCTGCTTCTTCTCTGACTCTTTCTCCCTTTTTTATTTTAAATAAATTTTCTGTAAGCTGTCTCCTTCAAGGATTTTTTTTTTTAAACCCTACCCATCCTGCTGTTTGGAGGAATGAGTGTGTGAAGTTTGTTTGTTTTTTGTTAATGTGCTGTAGCAGTGATGTACATGGGATAACTGCAGGTACAACATTAATGGATAAAATAACTTTGTGTCCTAAAATAGATTTTGGTAAAGTACGAGGTGGATTCTGGCTGCAGCTGATGAAATCAATAGAACTTGTGCAGGGAACATTTGCAATGGCATTATGTGTAAAGCATTTCCATCCTTGACTTGCTGAACTTGAAATAAGTATTTTGAGAGGAGGGGGAGAGAGAGAGTGCTCATACTCGAGGAAGTTTAGCTGATAAGAAGGAACAATCTTGACAGCCTGCTGGATGAAATCTTTTGAATGCCTTGATATTATTATTATTATTATATTTTTAATTTATGTGAGGTGACACTAGAGCCATTTGAAGCACTTGGGCTTACAGCTGAGTCAAGTGTTACTTTTTTATAATCTGTTTTTAAATACAAGGCCACATAGTCAGTTTAAGTGGATGTGTGTAATCCTTAAACATCAGAAAACCTAAGTAGTTTGTATAGCAGTTGGTGGCAGCTGTGGATCTCAATGAGATACTAAACTTCATCATCTTGTTGAAAGATGAGAAACCAGCTTGACCATGGAGCAACCCAGAGGCTGGCAGCCTTCGCTAAAGGAAGTGTCTGCTACAGGAGAGCCAGCGTGCCCAGGGACTGGCCCTGCTAGCTTCTTAAACCAAACTAGAGCGTATGTAAAAGGAAGATGAGGGGAAAAGAAGAGGCTCTATTATCAATTAAAGGTAGTAACTAAATGGAGATCAGCACTTGTTCCTTTCTAAATATGCTGACAAGCAAGCACCAACAGGCAATAAATGTGAAACGTCTGGGATTGCTTGTGGATAAGTGCATTTGTAGAGTAGCTGTGACAATATCAGTAGTCCAAAGCTTTTGAGATGTCATGTGTAACATGTATATATGTCTTTAGTGCAAGTGTTTAGTAGGAACTACAGAAGGGGCTTTTGCAAGTGTGATATTGAAGTGAACCTTATACCTCTACTTTATTCTCTTGTAGAGAATATCTTAATTTTTTTTAACTGTTAGGCCTCTGTGAACAAGTTTTTAAGAGAAGATAAAGAAGAAAACAAACACACAGCAGCCTGGGGCAGGAGGAATGACCATACAAAGAAAGAAGGCTTTACCTCTCCCCATGGGCAGGCACAGGAGGTACAAAGAGCTAATCATTCTGTGTAAATTAGGCAAGTGTCATGGCAGATTGCAATTCTGCACTTAAATTGGAAGGCTCAATCTGTGATTGTCTCATGGGCAGTTACCCAGAAGCTCCCATGAGAAGTAGGTAGTCCAGAGGTCTCGGAGTCTTGTTCCAGAGCTTAGTCTGAAATGGTGACTGTGGATTCAGTTCAACAACTGGAACAACAGTAGCCAAAAGATCTGGTATACTTGTGGTTACATTTAAACAATACTTTTTAATTATTATTTTTAATAACCTACCTCAAATGACATCTGAACAGTCTGGTGCAAACCTGTGAGTATTTACAGGTTGCATATTAGGTGGTAGTATTAGGTATATTAGATATATTTGATGTCTACCTCCATCAAAGACTTAAAGGCAAAAGGAGGAGGGAAGGACATTTGAAAAATGGATGAAGGAGGTTATTAAAATAACCAGGAGACTTGCCAGAGAGGCAGTAGTCAGTCAAGGTGTAAAAGAGCATTAAGAAGTTAAGGAGAATTTTCTTAATATGTGGAAAATCTTTGGAAAAAATCTGGGTTGTGAAATGTGATACTCTGAGCTGCTGCTTGTCTTAGGCTGGCCTCTTGACAAGTAGGTCATGACATGACAGAAATGGGGATTAACAACTTGTCAGGATCACAGAGTAGTTACTTGAGGACGGTGAAGGATGAAATACATTGACAAGGTGATGCCTGAAGCTGACTTTGGTGGCAGAGGAGTGTGGCCAATGTGGTGCTGTGGGTGTGGTGCATGCATGGAGCCTTTCATAGGGGATGGAGCAAGGGCAGATAGAGAGAGGGTCTCGCAAGGCGAGAGGACCAGCAGTGTTCATGTGTGGGAGTGAACTGCATGGTCATCTCTATTTGTACTTCATCTGGAAGAGCTTATAAGAGTGAGATAAAACTTTCCGAACATGGTAGACATTTAAACAGAAAGATGAGTCCACAGTGAAACAACAGGACACAAAGAGAGTGCATGACAAAACAGCATGTGTAATCCACTGGTAGAGATAGAAGTGTGGGCATGGGAAGAGGAAGTAGTGTGGAGTTGCGAGGTGGTGGCCTCAGAAGCAACTGCCCCAACAGAAGTGTGAAGTTTTAGGAGGAAAAGGCTTATGATAAGGCTACCTCTGCTGGAAGAGGGATAAGGGAGAGGAGTTAACTGATAAGGCCCAAATTCTGTGCTAGAATGAGAGCTAGTGCATCTTTCTCTCAAACTTTTAGATTTCCTGAATTTAAACTAAAAAACTTCGCATTTAGTTGCTGAGTGCTTATCACACCTCTGAAATGTAACTAATGCACAGGCATGGAGGGTTTTTGCTTACTTTTGCTTATGGTGCTTTAACTGTGGCAGGTTAAATAGTTCAGCAATCTAGATTGCCCAGTTACCCTAGATCAAAGGTGTGAAAGTGATGATTGGCAGCACTTTCCCTTTAGTTAGAGAAAATGACTGTAAATAACCAACTTCTAGCTGCCTTTTTTTTTTTTTTTTAATAGTGTATGCGACTCCAGTTGGGAGTGCAGCTGCTCTGTACTTAAGGTATTTGTTTTTCCTGTGCTGGCCTGACAAGGTACACCCCCTTCGGTGTAATCTGTACAAATTGTGCCAGTTCAGAATTTCTTTCAAGACTTGCATAGAACTCCAGACACCCCTATCCACCTTGTTTTTTTCTCCTCCTTTCCCTTTCTCCAGCTTGATTCTGGCCAGAGGTCAGTGGAGATACTCAAATATGCACCTGAGGTCTGTGGTGCAGTAGTTATAACAAAATTTGTCTTGAATAATCTTTATGTGAGCATGTGCTTGGTTTATTTGCACGAATTTGCTACCTTTAGTTCAATACTGAACTTCAATGCCAATTTTCCCCTATGAATTTTGTGCAATTCAGTTATACCATGTTTTCAATTAACTATAAGCAAAGAAGTGCTATAGCATACAGAGTTTACACTGAAGCATTATGACAAGCACATTATAAGCACAATTCTCTTGGTTCTTTACACACTTAAGCAACTATCTTGCTATCTTGTCCAGGCTCTCCTCTGTGAATGCTTCAGAGGTTGTGTGTATATAAACAAACATATTTGCTATGGGGGGTTTCCTGCTAAAGTAAGCCTAATAAAGTTAGACCTGGAGGGCTCTTTTCTTTCTCTAATTCTAAGATATCTGGGACTTGTTCTGAGCCAGAATCTCATCTATTCATGCTGTATCAGGAACAGCCAGCAGCAATT